GAGCCAAAAAAAAAAAAAAAAAAAAAAAAAACCCAAAAGGGGGGGGGGGGGGGGGGGGGAATACCTGTGAAGGGCCTGGGGAGCCTTCGGGGGGACAAAAGTTTCTATATCTTGACTGGGGTGGTGGTTACATAGATACACATGTGAAGCTGTGCATGGTAGATCTCTGCACACTTTACTGTGAGTTATACTTCAATTTTAAAATCCTAAATATAAAAGATGACATCCTAATTTGAAAGGAACTGTGCCAAGACAATTAGGGGGAAAAAAACCCTAAAAAGTTGGGTGTATCTCACACCAGGCACCAAAATTAATTTTAAAAATAACTAGAAAAACATACGTTGATGGCTAGGTATCGGTGTGCTGGGTGAGGGAAGACTTTCTAAGGATAAAAGCAAAGAAGAACATCAGTGAAAGCACTGATGGGACTGTCATCTCGTCTTCCTGGCCCCCAGCCTCGACCAGCAGTCACTCGGTAATTACTTGTGGTATGAATTAAATAAATGATTCAACAACTTTCCTGCTGGGTGCCTGGCAGAGAGGAAGGTGTGAGGAGGGTGGGGGCAGGATGTGCTGGTGCCCGAGGATGGGCCTGGCTGCCAGCCCTCTGGGCAGTGTCCTCACCGGCAGGGAACCCTTGCCCCAGGCGCAGGTGCTTCCCGGGGACAGCCTGGCCCTCTGCAGGAGCGCGGCCGCTTGTTCTGAGTAGGCAGAGTCCATGTGGAAGGCTTCCTCCCTCCCAGCCTGCTCCTGCGGCCCCCCGGGCTCTGCTGCTGCGGGAAACAAACCGGAGAGGCGGTTAGAACTGGCACCAGGAAGCAAGTTCTAGGCTTAGGGCTCAGGCACATTGCCCAGGAAGTGATTTCTAGCTAAGGCCCATTGCCCAGGAAATCATTTTCTGGGCTGAGGCTCATGGGCCTGATGGCAATAGCCCAACTTGTCACTTTAGGGTTCCTCCCATCTGCCCTTGAGCAGGGAAGGCAAGGAACCAGGAGCAAGAGGGAAATGCTCAGAGGTTCACATTCTCTTACTTCTCAGAGCAGCCCTTCATGCAGCCTGGAGGACTCCCAGGAGAATAAAGGCCACTTACTTGGAGGAGACTTAGAAACCTCGGACCTGAGCTGGGTACATTTCATTCCTGAGTCCACATTCTCTGAAGACACCTCCTATGCAGATTACGGACAGTACCCAGTTAGTCATAAAGGAAGCAAATGATATTCACATAACCCTGGGACATAGGAGCCATTCATGACCCCTTCACAGATGGAGCAGCTGAAACTCAGAGAGGCTAAGTTGCTTGAACAAATCTCACAGCTGCTAAGGGGGGAGTGGGCATTGGAGCCCAGGTCTGTCTGACTCCAATGCCTATTGTTTTAATCACCATGTTATGCCACTTCAAATCTACTCCAAGAAAGAAGATGCTCACAAACTGTCAGGCTTCAAGTGCCATCGGGATATGAAAGTGACAATAAAGAGTATTATAGCTGTACTGATGCTAATTACATAGAGAGAATCTAAGCTTTCAGGCCCACCAAGGACACAGAGTGGTAGCAGGCATATATGCATTGGCATGCAACATGGGGACATAGTGACATGTAAGGAGACACACATGTGCAAACCCATGCACTCTATACACCCACATGCAGGCACACACATACACACACACGCCAACGTGGCCCTGCAGCAAAATCACTGCATCTCTCAGGCTGTGGTGGCATCACGAGGCCCCAGGCAGACAGGGCCAGCAGTGACCCTTATGCCACTTACCCTTGAATTGAAGACCCCAAAGATGTCCCTGACATCTCTGATAGGTGCCTTGTGTCGTCTTCGGGCTGAGCGGGCATAGATGTCCAGCCGACGGCACACAGCAGCCACCTGGGTCTGTGTCAGGGTGGACAAGAGCCCCCGGTGACCACCGTTCAAGCCTGAGCCACCAAGGAGGCCTGACAGGCCTGTGTCCTGCAGCCACTGGGATTCGGCTTCCCCTTCTGCCAACAGAGGGAGAACACCCAGATGAACACACACAGCTCCACATTCAGCCACACACACTAACCAAAACCCCACCTAGAAGCACACACTCACAGAGACACGAGGAGCCTCTGCATGTCTCATCGTGAGGTCCATTAATACCAACCGAACTCTTCATGAAGAGAAGATCTAACAAAACATCCGAGGATTTGGGGGGTACTGATAGCATTAACCAGTATGTGGATTTAAACTCTAACATTGCCATCCCTGGAAACAGAGCTGGCTGTGGAAGGGCGCTGTATGTTCGGAATCTGGAATGTAGCAATGTATAAATCTGGCAGAGACCACCACAGAGTCATACGGGCCCAGCTGCGCAGGCAAGCAGTTGGTGTCCCCTAGGGAAGTCCCCCCGCATTTAAGATCTTATTTATGTTGGAATAGTCCCCTCAACTGTGCTTCAAAGGAAACTGCCATGGTCCTACAGCAAAATCATTCAGACAAATCATCCAGGCAGTTGAGATTTTAGAATCCTGAGTCCCACCTCCAGGGATTCTGCTCCGGGAGTTTCAGGCCCAGAGCCTGAGAGTCTGCACTTGGAATATCCTTCTCTGATTATTCTAATGCACTGGGCTCTTCAGATCACACTTGAGAAACACGGGCCTTATTGTGGGGGAAATGGACGAGAGCTTATGGAGGAAGTTGTACACGTGCCCGAGGGGAGTGGTGGGTGTATTTAGTTATACCCAGTGTTGACCAGGTTAGTCAACAAGGTACTGATGGTTTAAAAACCCCAAATAAAACTGCTTTCATGGCAGCCTGGGTCGTGCAAATAACACAAACATGGAAGTCTTCCCCCAACATCCTCTCTGCACTTGGGAACCAGAACAAATGTCGCCAGGGCAGTCACAACTTTGTGAGTCCACCCCGACTTGTGCCGGCCAGGGAAACACTGATTCTGTTGTGATATCAAGACTTTTTCATTTGGACAGGAGCCTTTCGATAAGCCAGTGTTTCTTGAAATGCAGGCATTCACCTACCAACCTTATCATTTTTTATCTGTATTTACTTATCTCTGCATAATTATTTACCAAATGTTTTTCCCCTAATCATGGGCCATATTTTTAAAAATTTTTTGTTGTTGTTGTTTTCTCTTTGTGGGCCACATTTTTAAAACAAATCTATTTTAAAAGGAAACACTAGCCCCACCATAAATGGAACATCCAATATCAACTGCCATAGGTAGGAGTTAATGGGAAAAATGAACATATTAACATTCTTGTCTCCATGTCACCCAGAGGCTCCCTCTGTCCTGCAAGTCTAAAAATAGCTCTTGTTTTCATTTAGCTGTCCATAGAGGCTTCTCCCTTATGCACTCTGACTCCAATCCATCTGTCTCGTTTGAAATTAGATTGCTGGCCATAGGGTAATGCCAGACAGGCTGCCGCTAGTGGAGGACATCTCCTAAAACCACCTCTCCTACCACGGGGGACTTGCATTCCATGCTTAAAGATACTGCACTAGGCCATCCGGCCCTGAGGAGGTCTGTATCTTGCATATGAGCTGTGTTGTCAGCCGTGGCTAGCACAGCTGAATTATGTGCCAAACCAAGGAGGTTTCCATGCAAATGTCCTTCTCATTCCCTCACGTGCTGAACAAGTAAGGATGGCGTAGGGGGATGCTTGGCTCTATTCTAGGCACGGAAGATACAGCAGTGAAAAGGGCTGACAGTGTCCCTGGCCTCGTGGAAGCTACATTCTAGTGAGGAACACAGATAAATGTGCAAGTAAACGCACTAGGGAGTTCAGGTAGCGATGACTGCTGTAACAATGAATACAGCAGGGCAAGGGGCAGAGAAGGACGAAAGCAGGGGATGGTATTTTATGTAGGGAAGTTGGTGAGAAGATCTTTTGAAGGAGGTGACATTTAAGCCCAGTCCTGACTGGAGAGAAAGAGCCATGTAGATACCTGTGGGAAGAGCATTCCAGGCAGAGAGAACAGGAAGGATAAAGGACCCAAGGCAGGAATGTGCTTTTATGGTCAAGGAGCAGCAAGGAGGCCCAAGGGGTGGAAGTGGAGTGACAGAAAGACAGGGTAGGAGAGGATGCAGAGAGGAGGCACGAAGCCAATTCTGTAAAGCCTCGTAGGCTATGATGTGGTGGTTTTGACTGCCCATCCCCAAATTCTTTGACTCTCACCCCATCAAGAGGTGGGGTCCAACTCCCCTCCCCTTGAATATGGGCTGCACATAGGGCAATGCAGCAGAAGGGATGCTGTCTTCCTTCCAGAGCTGGGTCCTAGGCAGTGAGACGGCTTTTACTTGCCCTCTCTCAGGACTCCTGCTCCTGGAACCCAGCTGCTTTGTGAGGAAGCCCAGGCCACATGCAGAGGCCACATGTAGGTATTGCAGATGACAGTCCCAGGTGAGGCCCAGCTGATGCTCACATCCACCACCAAGCACGTGAGTCAGAAATCCTTGGTGATGACTCCAACCCCAACCACCATCTGACTGCAACTGTACGAGAGACCCTGAGCGAGAACTGCCTAGCTGAGCACAGTCAGCCCCCAGCACAGTGAAATATGACGATGATAATGACAGTGGACTATTGTTGCTTTACACTGCTAAGTTTGGGGTGATCTGTTACATAGTAATAGATAACGGGGACACATGGTTGTCTATTACTCTGAGAGGGGTGGGGAGGCATTTGAGAATTTTGAGCAAAGGACTTAGAATCCCACTTGAATGTTAACTCCACAAGAGAGGAGACTTTGTTTTGTGTTCACTGTTGTATCCCCAGGGCCTAAACAGCGCCTGGCAAATAGGCGTTCGATAAATATTTCTGGAATGACTTGATCTAAGGAGGGACATGATCTGATTTGTGTTAGTAAAAGATCGTTTTGACTGTGGCATGGAGAGAGATGGCAGGGAGCAAAGGTGAAACAGGGAAACCAGTGAAGAGGATACTGCAAGAGTCCAGGCGAGAGAGAAACACTTTCATGTCTGGTCCATGTCTGGATGCTCTCGCAACTCTCCCCCTACAGTAAGGCCCTCCCATCCGCTCCTGCAGGCCCCGCCAGGGTCTCTCACCCTCTGGGAGCTGGCCTTCAACCCTGCCGCTGTCTTCCTCTTTCAGCTCATCCCTCTGTTGGATCCGCTCCACCTCCATCCAAAAGCCATCCATGGACAAGCTTTCCGCCGAGGACAGCCGGGAGTGGGAGCAGCCAGTAGGCTGTGGCTGCAGGGGATTCCTCTGGGGACGCTGATTCATTCGGCTTGAGGAAGGGCCAGAGCTGTAGCAAGCAGGGAGGGAAGAGGAGAGTCAGGCAAAGCACTGCTCATGATGGGGTCTGTTCCGACGCTTTGTGGTTTCTCAGGGATGACAGGTGGATGGCTAGTCTCAGCAAATCAACTGATCAGCATCGCCCGTCAGAATCCTTGGAAACAAGCAGTGCTGCAGAGGACAGAGGAAGGGCCAGACTGCTCTGCTTCCTTCCACCTTCTTGGGCAGGGGGGACAATCTTTGACATACATATCATAGAGTCAACATTCACACAGGGAATTAAACACCAGGACAGGTGAGGAAATCACAGTGCAGCACATAACTAATCTCACTGACTTTTTACCCAAAATGTCTCTTATCTCCTTTCCCCCCATACCCTCTTCTTTGTGCATCTGACTGCCACGGCCCTGGTTTTCCTATTTGTAATGTATGACCACCTCATCCCCTCCCCTCTCCCAGCCAGATCTGGACAGAGTGAAGTACCAGACCACAGGGGTGCTATCCTTCAAGTGAGCCAATCTGATTCTCTCAGTGTTGAACCAAGAGCTTGAGGGGGTCGGTGTCAGGCGTGTGACCTGGGAAGTGTGTGGAGGTGGTGGGGCTTCCACCGCCTGGAGTGGCATGTCTTCCAAGAGAAGCAGAGAAGGGACCTCTGCAGCTATGGAGAAATGGGGCAGGGGAACCTCAGCTAGATTTTCCAGGCCCCAGCTGCAGCAGCCTCTCATGACTCAGTCTGTGGGGTTTACCCTCAGTGCCCCGACTCCTACATCCTTCCCTTCTATCCCCTTTTTCTTCCCAAGCTACACTGAATCAAATAATCCCAGAATAAAACAGTACAAGCTCCTGGTCCAGATAAATGACAGTTCAGGCCTTCAAATGAGGTTGGGGATAAAATGCCTATGCTGCCAGCCAGAATCCTTGAGAAACAGTGGGGTTGGTAATAATGCCCAAAATACTACAGTAGAATCCACAGAGACCCTGACACACATCAGCAAACAAACCGTAAACTATCCCTGCAGGAAACTATATCCCCAGTTGCCTCAAATGGGAAAACCACATATTCTGCAAATTCCATAGGTATTTGAGCTCAATATTGATCTCAGGTAAGGTTCTAGAACAGATTTCTCTATTCCATCTGGAAACAGACAAAAGGCAAAGAAAACAATAAACATACATGGGTTGAACTGCTCTATTAAAACAGAAGGCTCAAAAAAAAGTCATCCCATACGGTGCTTTAAAAGACACATACTACGAAATGGCAAAGCTTAAAAGCAGAATGGCAAATGCTTATTGGATAAACGCTAACAAAAGGACACAGATATCAGTATTACTGCCAGACTAAGAAGCATGGGGTGGGGGAGTTAAAGAATCTATGACAGCTGGAATTTTTATGCACCAAATAACATAGCAAAAAATATACACGTATCTGCTAGAAATGTGAAATTGGCAGAAATAGACTGGACTCATCACTCGTCATTTCTCCACACGAACCTTGCTTTCCAATTATCACGTTCGCCAGTTCTCCAAACCATCCCTCCCATACCTCCATGTCTTTGCATAACCTCGTCTCCTCTGCCGAGGATGGGCTTCCCAGTATCCTGGCCCCTGCGCCCCTTTTACACGAGATCTGGCCCACTCTTGTTGCCCTAGAAACAATCTTAGAATGGGAGCTTGGTGAGTAGGAAAGGTAGATTTCTGAGATTGATTGTGATGAAGGCTGCACAACTCTGTGAATGTGCTAAAAACTGTTTTTTTTTTTTTTTTTTTTTTTTCCTTTTTGAGACCGGCTGCACCGCGCTCAGCCAGTGAGCGCTGTGAGCGCACCGGTCATCCCTATATAGGATCCGAGCCCGCGGCGGGAGCGCTGCTGCGCTCCCAGCGCCGCACTCTCCCGAGTGCGCCACGAGCTCGGCTAAAAACTGTTGACTTTACACTTTAAATAGGAGAATTGTATGGTATGTGAATTCCAATAAAGCCCACACCATTCCCACGTTGCCTTTGCGGAGGACCCAGATCTGATGTTGGTTGCCTGTCTCAAGTTCTTTCTGCTCTCCCAGTAGAACTTAAAATATTTAGGGATTTTTAAAACATACTTTTATTAATTATTTGCCCATTATAAAACCAATATGCAGCTATTACAAAAATTCCCAACACTGCAGTGGATAGAGGTAGGCAATTGATAATTCTCCCTGCAACTATTACCACATTATCCACATGGACATGGTGGTGTGCAGACATCTCCGATTTCTCTGCAGGCACATTCAACCCAAAGCCAGGCTCCCTCTCCTTCACTCAACCTGACTCTGTTTCTGGCTCACCTCAGCCAAGCATGGAACTCACTTTCTCCCCCAGCCCCCTAGAGTCCCAGGCATGCAGAACATTTCATAGCTCTTGGCTGGGGGGCTGGAGGCTCACAAGGAAGGTGACCCAGCCAGTGCTGTTTACTCAAACATTTGGCCCCTCGTAGGCCTAGAAAATCATATTTTTTTAAAACCATCCACTTGTAATGGATATTTGGGCTGTTTCCGTTGTCAATACTGCAACGCACATTCTGGTATTTGTCACCTTGCACCTTTGTGCAGAGGGAACAGTAGAAGAGAATGCTAGAAGTGGAAACACTGCTTTGAAAGACTTGTAAAATTTTGACACTTCTTGCCAAACTGCCTTTGAAAAGGTTTGTTCTACTGGGTTTTTGTTTATTTGTTTTGTGTTGACTTTGTTCCCTCTGCCTACCTGGACTCCCTTCTTGTGGGATCCTGTGCCCTGGAATCCCTGAAGCCGTGTTTTGCCCTCAGTCTGACACCCCCACCCAATGATGCTCCTCAACCTCTGCAGGCTGATCCAGGACCCAGGGCCAGCTTCGTGGGTGTACGACCTGTGCTGTGCCGTCACACAGGGTGCATGTGTGCAGAGCCCTGCATTGGGTTTAGTGCTCTGCGTTCACCATCTTGAAATTCTTAATAATTTTCAAATAATTTCCCATGATCTTTTTGCACGAGGTCTGTCCCGCCAGTCTTTTACCCACAGACCCTGGCTGTACCTTCCTCCCAAGTGTCCTGCCGACATGCTGAGCTCAACTCTGAGTTACAAGCAATGCCATCCTGAAACATACTTAAATGTGGTAAAGAAAGAAGTCTCCAGTCTGCCAGTGCCTGAAGGAAGAGACAAGGCTCACAGCCTCTCTCCTGGCAACAATAGCTCAGCCATCTTCACTGAGCAGCTCAACTGGAGAACAAGTCCCAGTTAATTATAAAATTGGCTGTTCCGCTCTATTTATGCTTTTCCAGAAAACTGCTAGTCGGCGCCTCCTGCAAATCTATTCAGCACCCCATGCTGGTGCACAGCTTCGTTTCTTTAGTTGCTTTGCTATTAGCTTGGAAATGACCAGCATCTGTGTGTTCACCTGACAATTTGAAAACTGCAGCAACCAAATCAAAACAAAAGTCGTCAACTGTGTCCGGGTTTGACAGCTAAGCAGTGAGTGGGGAGGAATCATTTCTTTGGGTGAGTTTTCCGAGGAGGTCAGGGAGGTGCAGGGGAAAAGAGCAGAAACTAAACAGCCACAGTTCTAAAAGAGCAGTTGTTCCAAGCTCGCATTTTGCAGTGTGGCCGCGAGTGCCCCTTATAGGAAGAGAACGACAGGTGCTCAGCACATCCACAAATGTGTGTAGAGACTCACAAACACAGCCAATTTTTGTGTTCGTTTTGTTTTCAACAGCTTACTGATGCCTAGTATATGCAGAAAAGTGCACACATCTTAAGTGTACAGGATGATTAATTGTCTCTGGTTGCAATTTTTTTTTTAACATTGACCAAGCACTTTTCATGTGCCCAGCAGCAGACAGGTCCAAGCATTGGTTTAATTCTCACACATACCCCATGGGAGAGTGCTGTTGTGCCCAATTTATAGAAAAAGAAACAAATCCAGCAGGACTAGGGGACCCACCCTGACTCATCCAGTTAGCAAGTGGCAGAGCCGGGATTGGAACCCAGGCTGCGAGCTGCAGCGCCAGTTATCCTCGCTGCTGTGCCGGATGGTTTAGGGAGGCCCTGAGGTGTATATGAAGGGATCAGAACGCGTTGTCTTCTGCATCATAAACCCTGTTCCCCCCTCTTAGTTCCCTGTCTTGCCAAGCACTCCACCATCAGGCACTCCGACAGCCACTCCTGACAACCCTTCTAGAAATTCTTCACATCCTTTTAACCACTAATGAATTCTTACATCTTCCTACATCTCTTATATTCACCAACTTCTCCCATTCCCGTGGCTACTGCCCTGGTCCAAGCCAGCATCACCTCTTGCCTGGACCACAGCCTGACCTCAGTCTCCCTACGTGTCTTTTAGGTACCCTTATCTGGTTTTGAAAGACCTTCCAAGCTCACAAAGCTGGCCTGTCAGTCCCCTCTAGAATCCTCCACGGTGCCCCAGGACCTTGAGGATAGAATGCAAATGTCTTGCCATGGCATGAGTCTGACATCTGCGTGTCCAGCCTCATTTCCCATCCCTTCTTCCCTCTGACAGAAATGTTCTTCCCTTATCTGGCCAACCACCCTTCAGGTCTCAGCCTCAAGATCACTTCCTCAAACACACCTTCTCTGGTCTCTTACCTGGATTAGCTCTCTGCTATTTGCTTTTGCATAACACTCATTCATTTCTATTGGAAATATTTACCTGTCTCCCTATTCAGTGCTGTCTCCCCAGTGCCTAAAACACTGGGTGGCACATAGTAGATATGGCGGTTATAACATATGGCCCCCAAATTCCTTGGCACTCCTCCCCCAGGGAGATGGGCTCTATGTCCCCTCCCCTTGAATCTGCGGGTTTGTGGCTGCATCAACCAATAGAACACAGCAGAAGTCAAGCTATGAAACTTCAGAGTCTGGTCATAAGGACCAAGCAGGTCCCACCCGGCTCTTTTGCTGTCTACTTGCTCCCTCTTGGAACTGGCTGCTACGCTGAGGAGCCTAGGGCAAGTGCAAAGTCACTTGTAGGTACTCCAGTCAACAGCC